AAGCTTTATTAGTAGGTATGATTGATCACATCATTAGCTATTAATAATCACCTCAACTCTCAGCTCCCTCTCTCCCAGATTTGGAGGATGGGATTGAAAGTTTTAACCCTCTCATTACATGGTTGTTTCCCCTGGCAACCAACCCCTAATTTGGACACTATCTAGGAACTCACCAAGAGTTACCTTATTAGAACAGAAGAGGCTCCTATCACCCAGGAAATTCTAAGAGATTTAGAAACTCTCTGTCCGATGCTCTTATCACTCAGGAAATTACAAAGGTCTTAGAAGCTCTGTGTTAGGAACCCTGGTCAAAGACCAAATATGAGAGCAAAAGATTCTTCTAGTACCACTGTCCACAAGAGTTTTAGGAACTCTATCTCAGGAACCAGGGATAGAGACCAATTATGTATTTCTCATTATATCACTGTCACATCATGTTTCTGAATTCCTCCATTAGTGCCTTCTCTTTTGTTGGATAGATATATTCTGGTGTACCATTTTGATTATTTTCTCATTTCCTTTACTATATATGTTTTATTTTCTTAGTAGTTGCTCTAGCGTTATTGTTAACATCTTAATTCATAGAAATCTGGTTTGAATTAATACCTACTTAGTTTCAATAGTATACAAAAACTTTAGTTCTCTGTAGTTCCATTTACCGCCCCCCGTTATATTGTTATTGTCACAGATTACATCTTTATACATTGTGTACCAATCAACATAGACTTAGAATTATCATTTTATGTAGTTGTCTTTTTTTTTTAATTATTTTTTATTTTATTTTTTTATTTTTTTTTCCCCTTTTTGTCTTTTTTCGTGACCGGCAACGGATCGCAACCCTCAGTGTCGCGCCCGTACCAGACCGGGACCGGCAACGGGATCGCAACCCTCGGTGTTGCGCCCACACCTCGCTCAGCCAGTGAGTGGCCGGTCTGTATGTGGGATCTGTACCCTCGGCGGGAGCGCCGCCGCGCTCCCAAGCAGCGCACTGTAGCAGTGCGCCACTGGGCCGGCCCCTGTAGTTGTCTTTTAAATTGTATAGTAAGAGGAGTTACAAAGTAAAAAGTCATTAATGCTGACTTTTATTTAACTAGTTACATTTAACAGTGTTCTTTATGTGGATTCTAGGTACAGTCTAGTGTTCATTTCAGCTGGAAAGACTCCGTTTAGCATTTCTTGCAGGACAGGTCTACTAATGATGAACTGTCTAAGAATGTCTTAACTTCTGCTTCATTTTTTAAGAATACTTTTGCCAGATATAGACCTCTTGGTTGATAGTTGTTTTTGTTTTTGTCATCAGTTAGATTATGTCATCCTATCACCTTCTGGCTTTTGATAACCATTAAATAAATATATAAGACCTTACATGATCTGATTTTTCTTATCTTTCCATTGGTATGCTGGTAAATGTTTAATGACTATACATGTGTGTATGTATATATACACGTATGTAGACTATACATACACACATTTATTATAAGTTTTGCTAATATAAAGGATGTGTAGCACACAAGTTACAACTAATAAAATGTATAGTAATCTTTATTATAAATTTCATATAGCCAGTTGATTTTTACAGAAATCTTTTCTTGATTTGCTTTTTTTATTGAGGTGAAATTCACTTTTTTTTTTTTTTTTTTTAAAGATGACCAGTAAGGGGATCTTAACCCTTGACTTGGTGTTATCAGCACCACACTCTCCCTAGTGAGCCATCGGCCAGCCCTGAAATTCACCATTTTAAAGTGAACAATCCAGTGCAATTTGTACATTCATAATTTTGTGCAACCACCACCACTAGTTCCAAAGCATTTTCATCACCCCAAAATAAAACTTCTACCTGTTAAGTAGTTGCTCTCTATTCCTCCCTCTCCCCCAATTCCCCAGCAACCACCAATATATGTTCTGTCTCTAGAAATTTACCTATTCTGGATATTAATAAAATGGAATCAGACAATATGTGACCTTTTTGTGTGGCTTCTTCACTTCCTGTAATATTTCAAAGTTTATCCACATTGTAGCATGTTAGTACTTCATTCCTATTTATGGCTAAATAATATTCTACTGTATGTGTACACAACAATTTTTGTTTATCCTTTCATCAGTTGATAGACATTTGGAGTATATCTCCATCTTTTGACAGTTGTTAATTATGCTGCTATAAGCCTGTATGTACATGTATTTCTTGCACTATCTTTCAGCTCTTTCAGGTATATACCTAGGAGTGGAATTGCTGAGTCATGTGATAATTCTATGTTTAACTTTTTGAGGAACTGCCAAACTCTTTTCTACAGTAGCTGAACCATTTTACGTTCCCACCACCAACATATGAGGTTTTTATTAATTTGAATTTTTCTAAACTCATATATCTGAATCCAGTCTATACCATTATTTGGCAAAATGAAGCTACTAGTAAATACTTGATTGCTGTCTACTTCAGGAATGATCATATCATTGACGAACAAGTACTATTTTAATATGAATGTAGGTTTTGCTAAAGTTAACAAATATGATGAAAGTAAGACAATAAAGGTGTAATTTTTTTGCTGAATTGGCTGGAGTTTTTTTTTTTTTTTGGTGACTGGCCAGTATGGAGAGCTGAACCCTTGACCTTGATATTACAATACTGTGCTCTAACCATTTGAACTAACTGACTAGCTCCAAATTGGTTAGTTTTCTAATACTAGAGAATATTTCCTCAATTTTTTGTACAATTCAAAATGTGATGGCTTGAGATACCACATATTTTTTAAATTCAATCTGATTTTGACATTTTCTCCATCAATTTATTAAATAGACTTTTAATAGACAACCAATAAAACAAGCCCTGATTTGGAGGTGTTCTGTTTGCTGATTTCCATGGAGAAAATACTCTTACCATGGCTGACTTCAAGCTTCCAATGTGATGTCATTGAACATGAAGTAGAGAAGAGACAATGTACACTATCACATCATAATATATAGTGTTTTCACTATAAGAGTACTATAGCTGATATTCAAATATGGTAAAATGTTTAGGAAGTAAAGAGTTTTGAGTATTATTCATCTTTTAAGATAATTTATCTACTCATTCATATAGTTTAATTTTTTAAATGGCTGTGTTTAATGACTACCTCTTAGAATTTCTGAAAATTAATTGGAGAAAATACTCTTATTATGGCTGACTTCAAGCTTTCAATGTGATGTCACTGAATATGGAGTAGAGAAGAGACAATGTATACTATCACATCATAATATATAGTGTTTTCACTTATAAGAGTACTATAGCTGATATTAAAATATGGTAAAATGATCAGGAAGTAAAGAGTTTTGAGTATTTATTACTCATACTTTAAGATAAGTTATCTACTCATTCATATAGTTTAATTTTTTTAATGACTGCCTCACAGAATTTCTGAAAATGTAGCACTTGGCTCAGTTGGCTGTAGTATTTGGCTTCAGCACACCACTGTACTTGTCTGATGTTATTTCTACTATTCCACCTCTCATTACTTTCTTTCTGACCCTTATATATATGAAACTTGTTTGAATTTTGGGGCCTTTGCTCTTCTTGTTCCTTATATATAGGCTCTTTCCCTCCTAGACATTCTCATCCAAGACTCAGTTCTGTTGCCTGCCTTCTCATTCGTGCCTTCTCACATTCAGTCTAAGTTAGCCTTCCTCTACCCCATCACCTACTTTATCCCTTCACTCAGTTTTATTTTCTTCATAGCTCCTATTATTATCATAAATTATATCATTTATGTGTTTGTTTGCATGTTAAGAGTCTCTTACTCCACTAGAATATAAACTGTAAGAGAGCAGGGACCTTCTCTTATTCAAGATGGTGTCCTCAGTGCCTAGAACAGTGACTAGCATATAGTAAGTGTCTAATATTTGCTTGACGAAGAAATGCATAATCTAAATAAAAGATTAAAGAATGGCTTATTTAGACATTGCATCACAAAAGCCTCTTTAACTTAACTTTTACTAGACAGAAAAAAATACAGCCTTGTTGTTTTTGGTTTTTTTACATTTAGGTTAATTTTCAGATTCCTTTTGATTTTGGATCTTAGGTTTATATGTTGATGTATTACTCTAACTTTACTGTTTATATATCAATAGACGTCATGCACCACATAATGACATTTCAGTCATCGACAGAGCACAAGTATGACAATGGTCCCATAGACTATAATGGCATGTGGCTATACCATATAGTCTAGTTGTATGGTATGCTGTACCATCTTAGTTTCTGTAAGTACCCTCTATGATGTTCGCACAACAAAAATTGCTTAACAACACATTTCTTAGAACATATTACCCATCATTAAGCAATGTATAACTGTATAACTTCTCTGAATTATTTATAATTCAAATAATTATAAGTGAAGCCTTTTTATTATAGTTTCACTTATAATTACTTGGGTATATAATAAGTGAAACTGTCACAAAAATGCTTATTAATCTATAGGTAAAGCTTGGTTGGGATTCAAAACATATCTTCTTCATGGTGAATTCTGTATTAACAGATTCTGTAATAGTTACTTGCCCCATAGTATATATTAAATTAAGGGGAAAAAGTGTACCAAGAATTAAATTTTTGAAGAAGATATTATAATTTAATATTTGAAGGGTTTTTTTAAACATAAAAGGAACTCTGAAGGTAAAATCTGTATATTGAGAAATTTGTTTTACTAAGACTTCAAATGTGCTTTTATCAGTGGAAGACACCTCTGTAAAAACTGTGTATAGTGGCAAATTATAAGAAAATTATAATTTTTTTTTAATTACTCTTTTTAAGTTGATAAATTATCGGACTAGAATATATTTTAACTTTTGGTGATTACTACAGAAAGCATTGGATGAATAGATTTATAACTCTCTAAAAGAAAAGCCTTTCTTTGGAGAGTTGGAAATCCAGGATTTTAAGGGTTTTTTTCCTGTAACAGACTGTGCTTTTCAGATGCCATTTTTATTATTGTAATTTGAATACTAAATGTTGTTATCTCTTCTGTATTTAGGTTCGATTAGTGATAGTGGATGGTATTGCTTTTCCTTTTCGTCATGACCTAGATGATCTATCCCTTCGTACTCGGTTATTAAATGGCCTAGCCCAGCAAATGATCAGCCTTGCAAATAATCACAGATTAGCTGTAAGTATTACTAGTTAAGAGGGTTTTATAGTAAAGTCAAGACCGTTTAAAATATCAATGTCTAGAAATAGCAAAACAGAATTTGCCTAACTAAAAGTAAAAAATATAAATTTGTACTTTTGAGTGTAATTTTGTTTTGGTTTCTATAAAAAATTAATTTCAGTTATAAGAGTTGTATATTAGTTTTTCAGAAAAATAACAAGCATAATCAATATGTCTTTTAAAAAATGGAGGACTTTGATAAAGAAATGTTACCATTGGTAATTGCAGTGTTTTGTTTTGTTTTTTGTCTAAATATACTTGACGTTTTTTCAAGTGAGCTCTTCCAACATCCACATTTTTCTTTTACTCTGAGTCTTTCCTATATAGTGTACAATTGCAGACTCAGAAGGATTGAAAAATTCCTAGTGTAATTTAAAGCAACCTATATGTTTTGAGGTAGAGCTAATTATTCTAGATTTGAAATGTGAGAGAGGTAAATATAAGTTCAGAAGTAAAGAGATAAAAAGGAATGAGGTGAAACTATTTTTGTTTTTCGAACTGCCTGTTTGCCATCACTTCACACTCTGCAACCCCATCCCACCAGTGACACAAATATACACACTTGTCTGGGAGGGAGATGGAAGATCAAAACTTTTACTTGATTTCTTTGTCTTTCCCCTGATGATAGAGTCCTTAGCACATACCTGTAATGCATCATAAGTAAAGAAAGAACTTCCTCGATAAGATCTTTTCAAAACATACATCTTTTCTTTGCGTTTCCAGATTTTTTACCATATGCCGAAATGGATAGTGCCCTGTGTTTGAATTATTTTTTGTGATTAACTGTAATTTAGCATTTTGTTAATATCAGTAAAAAGTCCCCAGTAGGGGGCACTCAAGACTAATGGGTTGCATAGTTCCTCAGGTATTTGTCTTTGTTTTAATAGAATAGAATAGCTTTATCTTTTCTGATTAAAAAAGTAATCCACGATGCTCTCATGTTAGTGAGTTATCAGAATTTATTAACATAGTGTCACTGAAGTTTTTATACAACTCCTCATTGCTAAATTTGCCTTGTTTTTTGGACGTATGGGGGTGACAAACAAACAAAAAAAGTAACCCAAATGACAACATTGAATACTATGCAGTACTTAAGAAGAGTGGTGTAAATATAAATGTACTAACATGGGACAAGATATATCCAAATATATAATTAAGTGAAAAAATTGAAGTTGCGTAACAATATATTCAGTGTAATCCTACTTTTTAGAAAAATTAAAATTATATATATGCATTTATTTTTATATATATGAAGAAAAAGATCCAAAAGGATCAAAGAATTAACAGTGGTCACTTCTAGGGATAAGATTTTGTGCGACTGGGGACGTACTTTCCCCTCTTACTTTTTTTTTTTTTTTTTCCTTTTTGTCTTTTTTACTGACCGGTAACGAGATCGCAACCCTCAGTGTCACGCCCATACTGGGGACCGGCAACGGGATCACAACCCTCGATGTTGCGCCCGCACCACGCTCAGCCAGTGAGTGGGAACCGGTCTCCACATGGGATCCGAACCCTCGGCGGGGGCGGCGCCGCGCGCCCC